TATTCTGTCGTCACAGAGATGTCTGGCACGTGCATTTTAGCTATAGTTGAAGCGGGGGAGTCGTCACCTACGCATGCGTTGGATGGCTGTAGCGTGTCATTGTTTACAAACAAGCGTCTACACATGAGCCTTTGCGTTCTTAGTGTGTGTTGTTATCATCGCTTGGGAGTCAATTCCCGCGCGTGCGCAGGTGACGACCCTCCCGCTTTAAAATGCTTGATATATCATTATAACACTTTGTCTGTATCTGTGTTAAATTAAAATAACATTGAACAATACTAAAAATAGAAAACATTTCTCGGAGCGTGAAACTGATCAAATTGGAGCTGACAATATAGATATTTTTTTTAATGTTTTAGAAGAACCAAAAGCCTTCGTGCTTTACATATGTTTATTTCTTTGTTATTTCCAGGGACACCCAGGTGTCACTGGTAGACTTGGTGTTATTGGGATACAGGGATCACCGGTAAGAATTAATTTTCACTCTAAATAAATACCGGATAGCATCAAAAGTATACATCTTTTTGAAACGTGTTAAAAGTGGGTTGGTATTATATATATTATATTAGCAGGTGTTTACGGCGCCCTGTCTCGACACAGTGCTTCTATGTCGTCCAACGTAAGCACTACCATTCAAATAGGAAACTATGGTTGTGGCGCCGTTTTTGATTTATACTATAGTAAATCTCTATAAACAGTACTTGTTATTAAAGGGACAACCGCCGATCAAAACAATATCGACGATAATGACGTCATTACACCATTTACGTCACAGAAGATGTTTTGTCCCAAGAGGGCATGACTTAACGAAATAGTGCTTTGTAACCTACAATCAATATACTTGTCTTTACCGGCAGGGTTTGAAGGGTGTTCCTGGACGAGCAGGACAAGGAGGTGAACCAGGAATTATGGCAAGTTTTAGCATACTTTTACATTGATTTTGTGATGTCGTCGTATGTACGAACGAATGAGAGAATTATCTAGCGCATGTTTTACCGCCCATATTACAGGTGTTTTTATGTTGACTATTCAAATCCCAGGTTTTGGGTAAATATGATAAAATGTATGGTGGCATTGGTATGATATATACTTGCTGATTTGTTGCTATAATTTATTGCAGGGTCCAGTTGGACCGCCTGGAACCCGTGGGGTAATGGGACGTCCGGGAACACAGGGATTAACAGGCGAACTTGGTCCAGCGGGAGAACCAGGTCTTCAGGTACAGTGATTCATTGCACTCGTGGTCCGTTGCAAACACATATATCTTGGATACGATTTATGTTTCTTTCATTCTAATAACTATACATATTACCAGGAGTTGTGCGTTGTTAGCATAACGGAAGATACGACGGTAAATAACAACTCTCAATAAAAGTATTGATATTTTTTTTTGTATTACACATAATTCTAAAGTCGCGGAGACTTGAATGACCGAACGCTGACTACAAATGTCGGACAAGTGTACGTTGTTAACAAACGCCGGTCAAGTGTGTGTTGATACTAACAAACGCCGGTCAAGTGTACGTTGATGACAAATGTCGACCAAGTGTACGTGGATGACAAATGTCGGTCAAGTTTGCGTTGAGGACAAATGAACATGAC